GAACCAATTACCCAGGCAATTCACACAACCACTGTAAGTTACAATTTGACAAGTAAATGGGGAAATGGGGTTGTAATACTCAAAACGACCGGCCGGGTCGTTACAGGGACATTACCGGACATATGAGTCCAAATTCACAAGTTCACACAACTGAAACTATCGAGCCTAAGCTGCTGTCTAAACCTAGCCTCAAGTCCTCCAGACTGGCCCATCACCAAAACATAGAATACACATCTCGAACCTCGTTCATAGAATCACAGGCTGGTGATGCACAGTCGCGCTCACATGCTCACACGAATGCGTGGAAGGAATTCAAAGAGTTATGCTTCAAGTTGAATCAATTCTGCACGATAAGGAAAAAAATATGGGAAATTATCCTAAATGCCATGTAGCCTCTCAAAGATAAGTATGGACGTCATCATACCGATCCGCAAGACTCTACTAGACACTTGTTCATGACTTGTAGAACCTATGAACCTAGGGCTCTGATACCACCTTGTCATGACCCAAAATCCAACTAGCCGTGATAGCACCTAACCTCACCCGCTAGGTAAGCCAAATAACACAATTCGATTCAATTAATATTTAACTGACTCTAATACACTCTCCAAGTATTGGTAGTACAAATCATGAGCTTCTAAGATTCAGAATTTACAAAGCTGGTGTGAAATAAAAATATGTCATATGTTTGTATTATACATGAACAGATTAAAATTCTAAAGCTACCATGAACAAGAGGCAGCAATAATTGGGATGCAGGTACATATTTAGATCCAACTCTCATTGTACGCAGCTACATCAGCATCCGAAATCTGCACGCAAGGTGAAGAAGTGTAGTATGAGTACAACCGACCCCATGTACTCAATAAGTAACAAGACTAACCTTTGGGCTGAAAGTAGTGACGAGCTCAATAGGTATAGTCCAAAATAAAATAAAAGTACAGAAATGTAGGCATGCTTTCAAGTTCAACAGTTAAACTCAGTACAAGTAAAATAGCTCAATTCTAAATGAGATGAGGAATATGACATCTCTATATCTATATGCCAATGTACATACTATATGTGATGCATTTTAGTGGAAACCTCGTATACTCAAATCTCAAAATACTAAATCACTCAGTACTGTATATGGCCAATCTAGCCCAAGTGAGATTCATCCTATATATATACNAGGAAAATCCATCTCACAATATAAATGCTTCGAGTAATATCCATGCCCGGGGAAGATCCATTCCTCAATATAAATCATCTACGCTCATTGTGGGGGGTGCAAACTCCGGAGGGGCTCCTTCAGCCCAAGCATGATATAAAGCCGATATGGCCTGCTGCAAGCGGGCAGCCCCGATCCATATAATAATAAAGTCGATATGTCCTGCTGCAGGCGAGCAGCCCTGATTTATATAGTAATAATATATATAAAGCCAATATGGCCTGCTGCAGGCGGGCAGCCCCGATCCTATAAATATCTTCACAATGGATGAGCATGACTGAGTATCAAATGTACATTTTTAAAAATAATTAAATTCAACAGCAATACGACCCTATAGGTGACAAAACTATCAGCACGTAGCCTAAACATGATCTTTAATACGAGTCTCAGCTCAATTTCTCTAGCTCGTGGATGATATGCGGATAATAACATGATTCCTTAATTTTACAACTCCAAAGAATTTATTCAAGTTACAATTTCTATGGTGCACGCCCGTCACCTAGCATGTGTGTCACTTCCAAATAATTTATATAACACAAAATTCGGGGATTCATACCCTCAGAACCAAGTTTAGAAATGTTACTTACCTCAAACAAGCCGAATCCGATGCCGAGCAAGCTAAACAACACTCCGAAAATTCCATTCTGTGCGTATCAACTCCATACGCCTTCCTATCTCCTCAATTCAAGCCAAACGATCTGTATCTATTCAAATAACTTGCAAATAAATCACAATTTACTCCAATGCTTACAAATTAACAATTTATGAAAATTTCCAACTCCGCTCGAAAAGTCGACGGTGGGGCCCATATCTCAGAATCTGACGAAACTCACAAAATTCAACAACCCATTCATTTACGAATTCATCCAAACTAATTTCATTCAAATCCGGCTCCGATTCGATATTCAAAACTCGAAAATTCATTTTGTGAAATTATAGAAAGTGCTTCCGATTTCTTCTTGAAAAATCAATAATCTAACACCGAAAATGAAGATTAATCCATGAAATATAATCACAAGTGAGTCAAGAATGCTTGCCCCAAGTTTTGTGGTGAGATTCCTCTCCAAAATCGTTAAATCCCGAGGTTCCCAACTAAAAATACGAAATAATGGCTCAAAGGTCCAAAATAGAGGACTTATAACACTGCCCTGACTTCCTTCTTCGCGTCGCATTCGCGATAAACAAAATTCTCAAAAGCCATTTCTAAACTCTTCTCAGATAGCCTCTAGTATAATGGTTATAACATTTTGTACAAAACTCCAAATAACAAATGGTTTGACTTTCTGAAAACTTGACCTCAAGGGCTATAACTTTCATTGTTGATCATCTCCCAATTCCTTATAGATTGCGAGATATAAGCTTCCAAAGTCAGACGACAGACAACAAGAATTCCTTCTTCGCGAATGCGAGAGTCTCTTCGCGAACGCGAAGAACAAAGTCCAAGCAGCAAAATCCTTCTTCGCGAACACGAGAGGCTCCTCGCGAACGCGAAGAACAACACCAGACATCAGAAAACCAGAAACAAAGGTAGCCCAAAATGATCCGATAACACCCGAAACATGCCCGAAACACACCCGAGGCCCCCGAGACCCCAACCAAATATACCAATAAGTCCTAAAACATCACACGAACTTAGTCGAAGTCTCAAATCACATCAAACAATGCTAAAAACACGAATTGCACCCCAATTCAAGCCTAATGCAACTAAGAAATTCCAACTTGTACATTTGATGCTGAAACCTATCAAATTTAGTCCGATTGACCTCATATTTTGCACACAAGTCATAAATGACATAACAGACCTATTCCAATTTCCAGAATCGGATTTCGACCCTGATATCAAAAGGTCAACTCCCCGGTCAAACGTCCAAACTTAAATTTCTATTTTAGCCATTTCAAGCCTAATTTAGCTACGGGCCTCCAAATAATTTTTTCGGACACGCTCCTAAGTTCAAAATCACCATACGGAGCTATTGGAATCATCAAAACCCGATTCCGTGGTCGTTTACATATAAGTCAACATCCGGTCAATATTTTTAACTTAAGCTTTAGACCTTGAATTTCGTTCTTCCAAATCAACTCCGAAATACCTGAAAACCAAAACCGACAATTCACGTAAGTCATAATAACTAGTATGAAGCTATTGAAGACTTCAAATAATAGAAAGAAGCGTAAATGCCCAAAACGACCAATCGGATCGTTACAGATTAGCTGCTCCAAGACATGAAATGAAGGGAGAGAAAGCTTAGAGCTACGGTTTGGAATTCATTTCTTTCGGGCTTCTTCTTTTCTTTCTTCTTCAGTTGTTTCTTCTTTTAGCCATTACACTCACATCATTTTGTAGTTCCAAATAAATTATAATGTTGGAAATTACTCTAGTTCCTATTTTTAATTAAATGGGGGGAATTATTCTCTTGAATATTTCTTTCTATTTTCTTATTTAATAGACAAGAATATTTCTGTTGTCAGTACTAACTCCATTATGGAGTAACTTTTCTTGTGTTGGGAGAATGGCGGATCTTAATATTTCTATATAATAGTATATATTATTCCTCAATTTCACATACTTGAGCTGAAGCTTTTCATTTAAATTTTATCTACTTTATAGTTAGGTGTTATTTAATTTGTTAACATCTATCAATTTCATACTATATATTAACTTCTTACTAATTCTGTAATCGAAAGAGGCGGAAGAAGTAATATAGTTAATTTTGGTATTGATAGATGTTAACTTTTATTTAGTGACATCTAGCTCTTATATGTTAAAATTGATTCTACACTATTTGTAAACGAAAGAGGCGAATATTATAGTAATCAATTATAACAAGTAGGGTAACCGAAAGGGACTTACTAAAAAGAGAATGTTTTAGTTCAAGTATATATTTCTGGTTCTTTAATATTATCATTTTAACGATTAATTCGTATAACCGAAAGAAGTGCAATTAATTATTCAACTATAGCAATAATATATAAATATAATCGTGAGAGGCATTTATACATTTCTGAGAAATATAAATTGAAGAATAAATATATCTACTGTATAATAAAAATATTAATTGAAGTCAGGATCCCAACACCTTTTTATTATATTTGTGAAAAATATATTTTATATTGCTCTATTCATGCATTTTTAGTTAGTTAATTCACAGCTCAACTCTTTCTGATTTTCTCAAATAGTAATTAAAACAAGAAACGTCTGTAGAATAGATAAACCAATCTTTATTAGTTTGACATCTTTCTATACTATTATTTGACAGAGTACGAGTTAGAATTTTATACACGCCAGACACTCGTCAAATTTTTGGCGCCGTTGCCGGGGATTGGCAACATCTACTTCATATTAATTGTTTTGTTATTAATTTGAGAACTTACTATTATTATTATATTTATTATTATTATTATTAGTAGTAGTAGTAGTAGTAGTATTAGTATTATTGTTATCTATCTTTTTTTGTTACTACTGTAACTATTGTTACTAGTAATGGCTTTCTAGTTTTCTCTTATTGACAATATTACTACTTACTGTTTTCGTATCTTTCTTTATCTTTTTAATTTTTATTTTACTTTATAGTATCATAATATTATTTCTAGGATCAGCTAGCTCTTTTCATTTAAAAAAAACACACTTTATTTTCTGTTTTTAATTAGCATCACTAGTTATATTAACTACTACTACTATTTTAATTTTTATATACATTTTTTTCTTTTTAGTGTCACCACTACTATTTTAGGAAATAAGATTGTTTTCTTTCAAAAAATAAATCTTTGCTTTAAGGATTTCAGGTAGTTTATGACCCGCTCTTCTACAAAAGAGTTGGCGAATTACGACCCAGAAACTGAAAAATCTCTTCGATTGCGCAGGAAAGGACAAACATCATCTCCTCAAGGTATAGCTTGTGAAGAAATGGAGAATGAAGAGCTTAACAATAACCATTTTCCACCATATCAAGTGGAAGAATAGTTGAGGTGGCTCCACGACGTGACAGAATACTCAGAGATTATGCAAGGCCAGATCATTTTAAAGGAGAATCAAGTGTGAGGAGACCACCAATTACAACAAACAACTTTGAAATTCGCATAAGCTTGAATCAAACCATTCAACAGTCATGTCAGTTTATTGGTGATGCGAGTGAAGATCCTCACACCCATCTAATTGATTTTCTTGAATTAGTTAAAATTTGCAGGTATAATAGAGTCACAACCGACGCTATCAGGTTGCGGCTTTTTCCTTTTTCATTAAAAGGTGAAGCCAAAATATGGTTGCCAAGTCTGCCGAGAGGTTCAATCACTACATGGGACCAAATGACTCAAAAATTTCTTAATAAATAATTTTCACCTGCAAAAACATTTAAAATGAAGCAAGAAATTAATAATTTTGTGCAGACAGATATTGAATCTATATATCAAGCATGAGAACGATTAAAAAAAATGATTAAAAAAATGTCAACATCATGGTATCCAAGATCCTGACATCTTATATATTTTCTATCATGGTCTTCAACCATCTGCTAGAAATATTAGTAATGCAGCATCAGGAGGATCCATAATGAGCAAAACTATTGCAGAAGCCATGCAATTGCTCAATAAAATTTCAAAAAATTTCAGTGGTCCTCTGACAGAATGATTGTTAAGAAAGTAGCAGGAGTCAATCAAGTTGAAGCTTGGAATTCATTAGCGCAACAAATTGCAACTTTGACACAAAAAGTTCAGGCTTTTCAGGTATACTCAATCATCATCTCAACATGAGAATTGTGACGTTTGTGGAGGTAATCATCCCAATCATGAGTGCCAAGCTTCAACGCAATATAAAGAACAAGTAAATGTTATTGGTTATAGAACCAATTACCTATTCGGTAGTCCCATAGCACAAAAACATTCGGGATTCCAATAGAGTAACCCAAATGGTGCTGAAAATCCTCAAAGATTTTTCAATCAAAAGCAGCAGGTGCAGGGACCCCCTGGTTTTCAAAATCAAAATAGAGGGCAACAAGATTTTCAACAATATTAATAATAACCCCAAAGAGCTCATCAGCAAAGCCTTGAAGACAAGATGTACAAATTCATTAAGGCTACTGACAAGAAGGTTGAAAGTCAAAATTCAGCCATCAAGAATTTGGAAATCCAGATGAGCCAATTAGCAACCCTCATGTCTAGACAAATAAAAGGTGATCTGCCAAGTAACACTAAGAAAAATCCAAAGGAACATCTCAAAGCCATCTTTCTGCGGTCAGGTAAAACTCTTGATGATCCATATGCAGATAGACAAAGAAAGCCACAAGAAGTGGAACAGGTAAATAAAGGTGAGAATAAAAGAGACTCTGAACTTCTAAAAGAACAAAAAGATAAAGGAAAAAAGGTACAAGAAAATGAATTGATGACAAATCCTCACTTTGTACCCCTCCCTTTTCCCCAAAAGCTAAAAAGAGAAAAGCTTGACAAACAATTCTCAACGTTTTTAGAAATTTTAAAGCATCTTTACATTAACATACCTTTTACAGATGCTTTGAATCAAATACCGGCATATGCTAAATTTCTTAAAGAAATTTTGTCAAGTAATAGAAAATTGGAAGAAGTTTCAGTGTTTAAGTTTACAGAAAAATTTAGTGCTATACTTCAAAATAAGCTTCCACAAAAACTTGGTGATCCAAGCAGTTTTACAATTCATTGTACTTTGGGAGGTGCTCATTTTGAAAAAGCATTATGTGATTCAGGTGCTTCAATAAATCTAATGCCTTTTTCAATTTTCAGGAAATTAGAACTTAGTGAAATGAAGGACATTGTTGTGTCTCTGCAATTGGCTGATCAAAGTACTAAAAACCGAAAGGAATACTAGAAAATGTCCTCGTTAGAGTTGATAACTTTATATTCCCAGTAGATTTTATAGTACTTGAAATGGAAGAAAATACTGAGGTACCATTGATTTTAGGTAAACCATTTCTTGCAACAGAAAGAGCAATAATTGATGTCCATCAAGGACAATTAATTTTTCGAGTTGATGAGGAAAGAGTAAATATTTGATATGCAGAAAATAATGAAATATTCTGAAGATGAGTCATCATCATCTTGTTTTCAAATTGATTTGTTGAATGACATTGCAGATGACTATAAAGATAATTAGTTGATTACTGATTCATTGGAAAGATGTTTGGCAAAGTCAGGTACCACAAGTGATGATGACACCACAATCAGAAAAGAAGCAGAAATACTGGAAAAAGATTCATAAAATGACAAAGTCTCACCAGAAGATCTTCAACCAAAAATTAAACTCAAAACTCTTCCTTATCATTTGAAATATATTTTTCTTGAACCTGAATTATTTCCAGTAATCATTTCATCCTCTTTGAATGCAGAACAAGAAAGAAAACTGATTGAGGTGTTGAGAGAACACAAAAGAGCCTTAGGATGGACTATAGCTGACATCAAAGAAATCAGTCCAGCTATTTTCACGCATAGGATACTTATGGAGGATAATTACAAGACAATAGTCCAACCCCATAGGAGATTGAACCCAACAATGCAAGAAGTTGTCAAGAAAGAAGTAGTAAAACTTCTAGCGGCGGGTATCATTTATCTGATATATGTCAGTCCTTGGGTAAGTCCGATGCAGGTAGTACCAAAGAAATGAGGTATGACAGTGATAAAAAATGAAGATAACGATCTCATACCTACCAAAATAGTCACAGAGTGGAGAGTCTGTATTGACTATAGACGACTTAATGAGGCTACAAGAAAAGATCATTTTCCTTTACCTTTTATTGACCAAATGCTTGAAAGAGTTGCAGGTCATGGTTTTTAATATTTTCTTGACGGATATTCTGGGTATAATCAGATACCAATTGCTCCAGAGGATCAGGAGAAAACCACATTCACATGCCCCCAAGGTACGTATGCTTACAGAAGAATGCCACTTGGACTATGTAACGCTCCTGCTATATTTCAGCTCCATGTCGATAATTTTCTCAGCTATGACTGAAAAGTTTCTTGAGATCTTCATGGATGATTTCATACTTTTTGGTAAGACATTTGAAGATTGTCTCTATCATTTAACTTTGGTGCTTAAAATATGTGAAGAGACAAATCTAGTTCTTAGTTGGGAGAAATATCACTTTATGGTAACAGAGGAATTTGTTTTAGGACATAAAATTACTGTTAATGGAATAAAAGTTGATAAGGATAAAATTGATCTTATAACAGGATTACCTCCTCCTACCACCATTAAAGGTATTAAAAGTTTCTTAGGCCATGCGGGTTTTTATAGAAGGTTCATAAAATTTTTTTTAAAGATTTCAAAACCTCTGACTAACCTATTGATGAAAGATGTGAAGTTTGAATTTTCAGATGATTGTAAAAAGGCATTTGAGATTCTCAAGAAGCAGTTGAATAATGCTCCAATAGTTGTTTCTCCTGATTGGAGCCAACCATTTGAAATAATGTGTGATGCAAGTGATCTAGAAGTTGGAGAGCCATTAGAACAAACGAGAGACAAGATTTTCAGGCCTATCTACTACGCCAGTAGAACCCTCAATGAAGCTCGAAAGAATTATGCCACAACTGAGAAGGATCTACTTGCAGTAGTATTTGCATTTGACAAATTTCGGTCCTATTTGATAGGAACGAAGGTTACAGTATTTACTGATCATGGTGATTTAAAGTACCTCTTAGCAAACAAAGATCCTAGACCCAGATTGCTAAGATGGATACTTCTTTTGCAAGAATTTGATCTTGAAATAAAAGACAGGAGAGGTTTAGAAAATCAGGTAGATGACCATTTATCATGTTTGGAAAATCCTCCAACGGAGACAACATATATCAAGGAGGAATTTCCTGATGAGCATGTTTATACAATCGCAACAGTTACAAATCATACACCTTGGTTTGATGACATTGCCAACTACTTAGTTGGAGGATGGATCCCAAAAGATTTCTCTTACGAACAACGAAAAAAACTCAAAAAAAGAAATAAGCCATTGTCATGATGGAGTTGTAGGAGGACACTATGGAGGAAGACGAGCAGCTGCAAAAGTACTTGAAGCTAGTTTTTTCTGGCCCACTTTATTTAAAGATGCGAGGAATTATGTCGCCACTTGCGACAAATGCTAGAGAAGCGGTAACTTTTCAAAAAAGGATGAGATGCCTCTTAACTCTATCCTTGTGTATGAAATATTTGATGTTTGGGGCATTGATTTTATGGGTCCTTTTCCTCTTTCAAATGGATGTGAATATATTTTAGTTGATGTTGACTATGTTTCAAAATGGGTAGAAGTAATGGCTACTAGAAAAAATGATGCTTATGTTGTTTGTGCTTATCTCAAGAAAAATATATTTTCTAGATTTGGAACTCCACGAGTTATCATAAGCGATCAGGGAACTCATTTTGTAAATAAATAATTCGCTAGTTTGTTGTCAAGATATGGAGTAACTCATAAAACAGGAACTCCATGTCATGCTCAGACAAACGGGTAAGTTGAAATATCCAATAGAGAATTAAAAAGAAATTTAAAAAAAACTGTTGGTTTTTCTCGAAAAGATTGGTCTTTAAAGTTAGATGATGTTTTATGGGCATACATAACTGCTTTTAAAACTCCCATAGGCACATCTCCTTTTAGACTAATTTTTGAAAAAGCTTGTCATTTACATGTGGAACTAGAACATAAAGCATATTAGGCTATAAAGTTGTTAAATCTAAATTTGTCAGATGCAGGTAAAAATCATATGTTGCAGCTTAATGAATTGGAGGAGTTCAAACTTGAAGAATATGAAAATGCTAAATTGTACAAAGAAAAGACAAAAATATGGCATGATAACTTCGTTCGCCGTAAGGAGTTTACAGTTGGAGACCAAGTTCTTTTGTACAATAGCCGGTTGAGATTATTCTCGGGAAAATTCAAGTTATGTTGGTCAGGATCGTACATTGTAACAGAAGTAACTCCCTATGGTGCCATTGAAATACAACGTACATATGGGAGAGACAAATTCAAAGTAAACGGTCATCGTTTGAAGCCTTATATCAGCAGATTCTTCGACAAACGGGCTTCAACAATCCTTTTAGCCTAATTTTATAAATAAAGTCGAGCTGGCGATGTTAAACTCAGAACTATTCTCTCTCCCTCTCTTTAATCTTTTAAGTAATTATTAGTAGTAACATATAACATTTTCTTTCTAGTAAATATATATAATAAAATTAGTTTTTTTTCTCCTTTTTAAAAAAATTAATAATTGCATGTTTGTATTTTATAGCGATCGCGAAAGAGGAAACACCAGAAACCAGCAGAAGTGAAAACCAGCAAACTTTCTAAGTTCAAATCATCCCGTAGCCTATCCAAAACTCACCCGATCCCTCGGGGCTCTAAACCAAAAGTGCAAACAAGTCCAAAAATATCATATGAACTTGCTTGCGTGATCAAATTGCCAAAATAACACCTAGAACTACGAATCAAACACCAAATCAAATGAAATTTTCAAGAAAATTTTAAAACTTCTATTTTCACAACCGAACGTCTGAATCACGTCAAATCAACTCCGTTGCTCACCAAATTCGACAGACAATTCATAAATATTATAGTGGACCTGTACCGGCCTCCGAAACCAAAATACGGACCCGATATCAACAAAACCAAACATCAGTAAATTCTTAAAATCATTAAACTTTCAAACTTTTAATTTTTTATCAAAATTCCATATCTCGAGCTAGGTACCTCGGAATTTGATTCCGGGCATACGCCCAGGTCCCAAATTACGATACGAACCTACCGGGACCGTCAAAACACGGATCTCGGTCCTTTTACTCAAAAACATTGACCAAAGTCGACTCAAATGGTTTTCAAAGCATCATTTCATATGTTTTACAGCTTTTAACATAAAAGCTTTTCGGAAACACGCCAGGACCGCGCACGCAACTCGAGGGTAAAAATAAGATTTTAAAGGCTTCGGATCACGGAATTAGGTTTTAAAATATAAGATGACCTATCGGATCATCACATTCTCCATTTCTAAAATAATCGTTCGTCCTCGAACAGACATAGAAAAGTACCTGAACTGGTGAAAAGATGTGGATATCTACTCCGCATGTCCGACTCGAACTCCCAAGTAGCTGTCTCAATGGGCTGACCTCTCCACTACACTCGAACTGAAGGATAACTCTTAGACCTCAGCTGTCGAACCTGCCAGGCTAGAATAGCCATCGGCTCCTCATCGTAAATTAAATCCTTGTCCAACTGGACAGAGATGAAATCTAACACATGGGACGGATCGTCGTGATACTTCTGGAGCATGGACACATGGAATACCGAATGAACAGATGCTAAACTAGGTGGCAATACGAGTTTGTAATCCACCTCGCCCACTCTCTCCAGAATCTCAAAAGGCCCGATATACCTAGGGCTCAACATGCCCTTCTTTTCGAATCTCATTACACCCTTCATGGGTATACCCGAAGCAACACTCTCTCTTCGACCATGAATGCAACATCACGAACTCTACGGTCGGCATAACTCTTCTGCCAGGACTAAGCTGTGCGAAGTTGATCCTGAATAATCTTGACCTTATCTAAGGCATCCTGTACTAGATCTGTACCCAACAATCGAGCCTCCCCCGGCTCGAACCACCCAACAGGCGACCGGCACCACCTACCGTATAATGCATCATAGGGATCCATCTAAATGCTCGACTGGTAGTTGTTGTTGTAGGCAAACTCTGCAAGGGACAAGAACTGATCCCACGATCCTCCAAAGTCTATAACACATGCGCGGAGCATATCCTCCAAGATCTGAATAGTGCGCTCGGACTGCCCGTCCGTCTGAGGATGAAACGTTGTGCTCAACTCAACCCGCGTACCCAACTTACGTTGTACTGCCCTCCAGAAATGCAAGATGAACTGTGTACCTCGATCAGAAATGATAGACACGGGCACACCGTGAAGACGGACGATCTCGCGGATGTAAATCTCTACCAACCGCTCCGAAGAATAGGTAACTGCCACAGGAATGAAATGTGTTGACTTAGTCAGCCTGTCCACAATGACCCAAACTGCATCGAACTTCCTCTGAGTCCGTGGAAGTCCAATAACGAAATCCATGGTGATACGCTCCCACTTCCACTCAGGAATCTCTATCTTCTGAAGCAAACCACCAGGTCTCTGATGCTCATACTTTACTTGTTGGCAATTTAGACATCGAGCTATATAAGAAACTATATCCTTCTTCATCCTCCTCCACTAATAATGTTGTCGCAAGCCCTGATACATCTTGGCGGCACCCGGGTAAATAGAATACTGGGAACTGTGGGCCTCCTCTAGAATCAATTCATGAAGTCCATCCACAATAGGCACACAAACACGACCATGCATCCTCAAAACTCCGTCATCTCCGACAGTAACCTGCTTGGCATCACCATGTCCCTAAGGACAAACAAATGAGGGTCATCATACTGTCGCTCCCTGATGTGTTCAAATAACGAAGACCGAGCGACGGTACAGGCTAGAACACGGCTGGGCTCTAAACTATCCAGCCTCACAAACTGGTTGGCCAAAATCTGAACATCTGATGCAAGCGACCTCTCACCGACTGGAATGAATGCAAGGCTGCCCATACTCGTTGCCTTTCTACTCAAGGCGTCGGCCACCACATTGGCCTTCTCGGGGTAGTACAAAATAGTGATATCATAGTCTTTCAATAGCTCCAACCACCTTTTCTGCCTCAAATTGAGATCCTTTTTCTTGAACAAATATTGAAGGCTCCGATGATCAGTGAAAACCTCACACGACACACCATAAAGATAGTGCCTCCAAATCTTCAGTGCATGAATAATGGCTGCCAACTCTAAGTCATGGATAGAGTAATTATTCTCATGAACCTTTGACTTCCGCGATGCATACACAATCACCCTGCCCTCCTGCATCAATACTGCACCGAGCCCAATACGGGACACATCACAATATACCATATCAGATCCTGAACCTGTGGGCATCACCAACACTGGCGCTGTGGTCAAAGCAGTCTTGAGCTTCTGAAAGCTCGCCTCACACTCGTCTGACCATCTGAACGGGGCACCCTTCTGGTTCAACCTAGTTAATGGGGCTGCTATAGATGAAAATCCCTCCATAAATCGACGGTAATAGCCTGCCAAACCCAAGAAACTCCTGATCTCCGTAGTTGAAGTGGGTCTAGGCCAGTTCTAAATTGCCTCAATCTTCTTAGGATCTACCTGAATGCCCTCTGCTGATACAACGTGCCCCAAGAAAGCGACTGAATCCAACCAAAACTCGCACTTTGAAAATTTAGCATACAACTGGCTGGCTCTCAGAGTCTGAAGTATAGTCCTGAGATGCTGCTCATGCTCCTCTCAACTGCGGGAGTAGATCAAGATATCATCAATAAACACGATCACAAAGGAATCTAGATAGGGCTTGAACACCCGATTTATCAAATCCATGAACATTGTTGGGGTATTTGTCAACCCAAATGACATTATTAGAAACACATAATATCCGTACCGAGTCCAAAAAGCTCTCTTAGGGACATCGGATGCCCTAATCCTCAACTGATGGTAGCCAGATCTCAAATCAATCTTCGAAAACACCTTGGCACTCTGAAGCTGATCAAATAAATTATCAATCCTCGGCAATGGATACTTGTTCTTGATTGTGACTTTGTTCAACTGTCGATAATCTATGCACATCCTCATCAACCCATCCTTCTTCTTCATAAACAACACAGGTGCACCCCAGGGCGAGACACTAGGTCTAATGAAGCCCTTATTAAGTAAGTCTTCCAACTTTTCCTTCAATTTTTTCAACTCTGGCGGGGCCATACAGTATGGTGGAATAGAAATGGGTTGAGTGCCCGGAGCCAAGTCAATACAAAAATCAATATCCCTGTCGGGTGGCATCCCCAGCATGTCTACAGGAAACACCTTTGGAAACTCACGAACAACTGGCACTGAATCCATGGAAGGAACCTCCGCACTAGAATCGTGGACA